GAATCTTTGCCTCCCCTGGCCAATTATTTCCTCTGTAAACCGACTCATTCTTTGTCTCATTTGTGATTACCTAATTTCCAAAATAAATATTGATAGAGTGATTAAACCTAACAATGGCTGACACAATTTCCATTTCATCCTGCAGGATCCTGTGACGTGACATAAATGGGCCTCATGTACGCAGGATTCCTCGGGACATTAAGGAGAGTTCCATAAATCAACAGAGGCCAGGCCTATGCAGCTGCAATAATGAGACCAAAGTCGGCGCAGTCATCTGTGCAGCCATCAGCTGGAATCACGGTAATACCTCATTAATTCAGAGCATACTCTCCATCACTCAAGGAGCAAATATTTATGGAGCAAGCACTCTGTTTAAGGTACAAAGCACACCACTGTGTGGAGGCATAGAAGCATGAAAAATAGTCCTCACTATAAAATGACTAAAATACCTTTTGGAGAAATAACTGTAGTTATATAACCAACAGTAGAGTAGAGCAACTGTTCCAGCCCTCTGAATAATTTTTAAATGTTGAACACCAATCAACTGACAGAAGAAATACGTGCTAATCCATATTTATAGGTTGTAAATGTGGTTATCGTCTCCAATTTCTGGTCTTTTGAAGTTTCCTGTCCTTCTTGTAGAACTGAGACCCATAGAGAAAGAAGTAACTTAAGTGATGGAAAGAAACACTTGTGTGTGTAAGTGCACACCAACTTTATCTGTGCTAAAGATTAAAAATAGTATAACCCTCCGTCAACAAAAAGGACAAGCAATGCTCTTTCTACTATAATACACAGCAACTCAAAAGAGTGAGCTATCACTAAAGGTAGCAAAGTGAACCCTGCAATATTGATAAACAAAATTTGTTTTAAATCATGTGAACCTTTATGGTTCTATTGGAATAAAATTTAAAAATAGGAAAAGTGAATTATTGATACTAGAAGGTAAAATAGCAGTCGTGGGGAAGTCTCCCGTGGACTAATGGGTTTCTTTTCTGCAATTTGAAGTGATCTCAATAATCAAAGTTAATTTTCAAAAACTCATTGTGTTCACCAAGGTTCCAGGATACAAGATAAACAGCAACAACAAAAGCCCAATCATATCTCTAAGTACAAATAACGAACATCTGGAAACCATAATTTAAAATAAAAGACCATTTATCTATTCACTTATAAGGGTATATTAGCTGTTAGGTAAATGATAATCGAGCTACAATCCACAGAACCAGAGGGTTAGGGAAAAAGAGGCCCTCTTTGTGGTGGGGGGGGCAGGGAGAATATTCATGGATTGCCCTGGGAAAGAGAAATAGAATAGTTTTTGCGGGTGGACTAGGGGCCGGTGGGAATGGGGGTGGGAGGGGTCACGTGGTAGGGGTGGAGGAAGAGAACACAGAGAGAGATGCTGGAATTGAGGTATATTTGAAGGGTGGTGTGGAAACCTAGTGCAGTGGAAACTTACTGGAATCTATGAGGGAGTCCTCGTGAAGACTCCCAGTAAAGGAGGATATGAAGTCTGAACTAGTCACCTTTTGTAGCCAGGCAAGGTGTCCAGTTGTGGGACTGGGTTGCATGCAGTAGGGTTTTTGGCCCAGGTGCTTCCTAAACATCCCAGACGAATGCTAGGACATAGGTCCTCTCTCCAGAAACTGAGAGTGGGGACCCATCGCCGAGGACATGTGCCCAGCTCACTGGAGTGGAGCCTTTACCCTTCCATTCTATAGTCTCTGTGATGTGAGAAGGTAACTCTGAAGGCTACCGAGAGAGAAACCTGTTCACCAACTAACCCAGTCACAAAACCATCCATCTACAGTTTTTCCTGCCTGCAAGATACGCTGGGGCAATGCTGACACAGAACTCGTGGGTGTGGCCAATCAATGTTTGGTTTAACTAGAGGCCTGTGCCACCAGAGGGAGACAATGCCCTACACCCCTTGGATGGCCAGGAATCAGAGACTGGACAGAGATAGCCCAGAGACCTAGAGCAGAAGGGACACAATGACTGAAGCATGTGGTGTAGGGGAATCAATGAAATGACTCCTAATGATATTATTCTGCTATACTCATAGATCAGTCCCTTGTCCAGTCATCATTAGAGATGCTTCCTCTGGCAGAAGATGGGGGAGAGCCCAAGCAGAGACCCACAACCAGACATTATGTAGAGAGAGTCTAAGTGGAGGGTTCCATTGGGTCCCTTCAGTTTGAACTCTTCTTCGGGTAGCAGAGGGGGAAGAAAGAGTGTAGGAAGCAGAGAAGATGAAGGATCCCAGGACAACATGTAAATCAACTAAGGAGTGCTCAGATGGGCTCAGAGAGACTGAAGCAGCGAGCACAGGGCCTGCATGGATCTGGACCAGGTCCTCTGCACCTGTGTTACAACTGTTAGCTTGATGTTTTTGTGGGACTCCTAACAGTGGGAGGAGGCGTTGCTCTGACTCTTTTACCTGCTCTTGGGGCTCTTTCCCTCTTACTGGGTTGCCTTAGCCTTGAGATGAGGGCTCTTGCCTTGTCTTATTGTATCTTGTTTTGCCATGTTTGGGTGTGGTCACCTGGAGGGCTGCCCCTTTCTGAAGGGAAACGGCAAAGGAGAGGATCTGATGAAGATGGGAGGTGGGTGGGGATGGCTCTGTGAGAAGTGGAGGGAAGGAAAACTTTGGTTGGGATGCACTGTGTGAGAAAATAATGTATTTTCAATTAAAAAAAATAAGCAAGACCATTTGTAATTGCTTCAAAATTGAAATAATTACATACAAATTTAGCAAAACATATTCAGAGGTGAGATGGCTCAGCAGGTGAGACCAATTGTTAGTCAAACATGGGGATTTGAGATTGGATCCCAACACCCACCTAAAAAGACAGATATATTCATAAACGCCTGTGATCCCACAGCTACAAAAGGAGACAGAAAAATAGGTGCAGCATGTTGACCACAAGCACATCTAGGGTTCAGAGAGAAATTGTTTCTCAAGAACACAAGGTGGAGATGAGTAGAGCGTACCCCTTACATCCTCTTCATGCCTCCACTTATGTGCATGCACATATATCACAACATGTGCATATAACACTCATGCACACACATTCCTCATTATCCTATTATGTTATGCTATTTGTACAAAAAATTATTATTGAGGGAAAATGGCTAAGGGACATGACATTGTCACTAAACTATTTTTTCAGCTGGATACAATCTTGCAGTTATTTCAAAGCTAAAGTTTCTAAGGTAATGTGTGTTGCTTCATTTGTTTTGCATGCGAATGTGATTTTAAAGACACCAAACAAGTCCCCTATTCTCCAGTTAAACCTTGAATAGACAACAAAAACTGCATTAGAATGAGCAGTGATTGGTGCAAATGAAGGATCTTGGGAAATGAGAGTATTGTTGCTTTTGATTGAGGAACACAAAGCCCCAATTCCACACATTTTATACTAGGGGTAAGCAAAGCATTTACAGGACATATTTACAAAATGAACATCTTGAAGACAGCAACACTGAACACTGATCCAGAATGACGTGAAGACATGTTTAAATATTCTGGAGACTAAAGTTCGTCATTCTCTTCCACTGTAAAGTTGCTAAGTGCTGAGAGGTTCTTTGCAGGGTCTCTAATCATAAGGGTCGACTAAACTTTAATCTTGAGTTCTTGTATATTTGTTTTCAATTTGTTGTGGAAACAAAACTACTAAACTGTGGGTGTCCATGGGAAGTTAAGTTTTAAAATGTTCATTATATTTTTAGCATGGAACTCTGGTTGAATTTTCTAATTCTAAAGCTGTTTCACTGCTCAAATTCTTTTGGATCCATAGAAAACTGTATCCTCCCTGTTTGTACAGATTTTGATGCAAAAAAATTGAAATGATGCTGTTTATAACAGAAATAACTTTAAAACATTGCAGAATCCAGCTTTCCTTCTGTGATTTATATTTGAGAATCTCATAGGTGAATAACCCTGGCTGGCCTTCAAAGGATGCAGGTTTAATCTTCAGCATGCACATGGCAGCTCACAACCATCCATAACTGTAGGTCCAGTGATCCCATGACTTTTGTGGCCTCTACAGGTACTGCATACATGTAGTGACAGACACACATGAAGGCAAAGTCCCATACATATAAATTAATTAAAAACTCATCTCTACTGAAAGAGCCCATGAATTTTTATATCTACAAGGAAGATTCTACTTAATTCTGACATACTTTCTTCTTTTTTTACATTTTAATTCTCAGTGTGTGTGTGTGTGTGTGTGTGTGTGTGTGTGAGAGAGAGAGAGAGAGAGAGAGACAGAGAGAGAGAGAGAGAGAGAGAGAGAGAAATGTCATGGTGGGCTAAGAAGGTGATAGGACATTTTGTAGGACTTGGTTGTTTCTTTCCACCTTGTGGGAGGGATTGAACTTAGGCCACCAAGACTGGCAGCAGGCATCTTTGCCCACTGAGTCATGTCATAGGACTCTAGTTTTGTTTTCTATGGGTATTTACCCCTGATTTTTCCTTACAGACGCTTTAAAAAAAATCTCAAAGCATTTTTGTCTTCAGGCTTAATAAGTCTATACACCAGGTCCACTGCTTTGGCATGAGTGTTATTCAATTATATACTGGCTACTTTTTTAATTAAGAAAATATCCTCCATCAAATCAGAAGGTCAAGAAGTTGAAAGTGGTAACTATAAAGGCTTACCTGCCCAAAGCTCACAGCCACCATGGGGATATTGTGACTGCAGTTATATGAAGTCATGGTAACAGAATACTGAATCGCTGTAGTTGGTCCATTTATTTTGGTCTTATTCACCTGAAAATGCTTTAAAAATATTCCTTTGTTTGCTAATGCTGGAGGTCTTCTCTTTGGCATTTCTGTAAAAGTCAGTGGGAGATAAGATTACAGTGTTCAGGTTTTGCTATGTGATTGACAGAATTCATATGTGCATAAATCTATCAATAGGACTTGGTAAATGATGCCAAGATGTGTAAATAAAATTTTCACTTGTAGGCCCGGTCTGCCGCGCGTGCATCTGTAAGGCTGCCTGCTCCTTTCCGCTGTGCTGAGCCCGCTGAAGAGTCGCCATGAGCAAGGCCCACCCTCCCGAACTGAAGAAATTTATGGACAAGAAGTTATCATTGAAGTTAAATGGTGGCAGACATGTACAAGGAATACTTCCGGGCTTTGATCCCTTTATGAATCTTGTCATTGATGAGTGTGTGGAGATGGCAACTAGTGGGCAACAGAATAACATCGGCATGCTGGTCATACGAGGAAACAGCATCATCATGTTAGAAGCCTTGGAAAGAGTCTAAACAATGGCTGTTCAGCAGAGGAGTTCACATACTTCCCCGAAGGACTGTTTGACTTGGGTGTAAAATTGGGCCATGTACATTTTCATTTAAAAAAAAAAAAGCTTTTTGCTAAATAAACTTTTGTGATACTCAGAAAAAAATTTGCACTCGTAGAATTATTATTACACGAGTCTATGAAAGCTTTTAAGTCCACTATATCAGAAAATTGTCACTGTCAAATAGTTGCACTGAAGAACAGCTTTCCTTCTTCATAGTTGCTTTCTCCAAGATAAGCAAAGCTATGTATAAGCAAAGTTTGCTATAGTTTATTTATTAACAAGCCAAATCCAGAATCGTAAACTAGTAATTGCTATTATTGGAAGAGGCTGACATTAAGAATTTATTCGTTGTTAAAATAACCACGCAGCCCTATTCATTACAAGTAAAGTTAATTCATAATACTACTGAGGTAAAAGAGCAGATCATTAATATTCATGGATTAGTATTTTGTCTTTACCACTGAATATGACAATGATTTCCATGGTAACATTTTAAAAGCTAGATTTTGAAGGTTGAACTGTAAATAAAATGAGCCAACATACCTCCCAAAGCTGAGACTGTAGGTGTTTGTCCAATGTACACTGCATCCACATAGACGGACTGGTACTCTGATGATTTTTGTAAGCTAATCCTTTGTAGAGAAAAACTTGTCCCCACATATTTGGTTTGTAAGAACTCTAGAAGGTCTATGCAAGTGTAGGTCCACCTGAAATATGTCACATAATTTTGTGTTTATGTTAGTATAATATAATATGATATGATATGATATGATATAAGATAAGTGTTATTATAATCTAAAGAACAATAGGCTAGAAAGATGGCTCTATTTGGAAAGTGTTCACTGTACAAGCACAAGGACCTGAGTTCGGATCCCCAACATCTCTACAAAAATCTGGTGCCACAGGCTTTGGTTACAGCACTGGAGGGCAGAGTCAGGAAGAGCTCCGAATGTGATTGCCTGTAGTCCCAGCCCAACTGGGGAGCTCCAGGTTTGCTGAAAAACTCCATCCGGTGGAAAATGACTAAGGAAAGTGTCCAATACTAATTTCCGGTGTTTACACACTTGCACACATGCCCACAGGCATGTGTATACACACACATGAACAGAAACTAACATAAAATGCAAAAGAATGAAAGACTTCACTGTCGGTGAGGTATCAATAGCGTGTACATGTAGAGGTTTTATTTGTAGCCTTGGCTTTACCTATAGGGATGTAAAATAACTTTCCATCATGGTACTTAGGATGTTAAGAAGCACAGTTTGAGTAGAGCACATTAATAAAGACAAGATAGCATAAAATCAACTATTTGTTAGATATATGGGAAATAGAAAAGTAAGTTCTGATTCTAATTTTAGTGGAAATGCTTTGAGGGTTTTTTATTATATGTAGCCTTTTTAAATCAAGACATGTTCCTTCTATTACTTATCTCTTTGGGGTTTTGTCATGAAGGGATTCTGGATTTTGTCTAAAGCCTCTTCTGTATCTACTGAAAGAGTCGTATGATTTCTGTTCTTTAATCTACTCATTGTTTGCTAATTTGTGTATGTTGAGTTGTTCCTGAACTTCTGAGATGAAGTCAACTGGATCACGGTAAGAAAAAGAAATGAGACTAGTCTGTATATTGTAGTATAATTTGTTGTGAACCCATAATGTGTCTTACTTATTTCCAGAAGAAAAGTCATATTCAAATTGCATATCAGCACTTCTAAAGATCTTGCCACTGTCTTGGTACTTGAACTTCAGACCAATGTGATTGGCTAAGGATCCTTTGTATGCGAAACAAAACTATATAAAAATATGAAAACGGTTAATAACAATATTTTACAATTATTTTGTATTATAACAATTCAAGTGACTGCAATGAAAATCTATATATATTTATTGAACATTTTCATATAAAGTATACAAGAATACTTAAAAAAAACAGTAGATTTCAACCAGTCAGCTGTGGAAGAATTGGGATACTTTCACTTATGGAAGACAAAACCTAATAATAATGTCTTCATGTATTTGAATGCAATATCCTTTAAAAATAGAAAATATTTCACTCTCTTTAAGAGTGAGTTATTTATAAATTCCAATTAAACCTAATATAAATAATTATTCTAAATTTTCAAAAAACCCATAAACTATGATGATTTATTTCCTGCTTACTATTTCTCTATCCCTCCCTGCCCCTCTTCCTTCTTTGTTCTTCTGAGAATCAAAAGGAGGAAGATCATAAAAGCCAGAATCAGAATCATTATTCCTGTCCCACGTGACATGATTCCAAAAGGCAAGTGTTTTTTCTAGCCTTAAAATTCCATGAATTTTATTAGCAGGCGATTTCCCAGATTGGATTAGCATGCAGTTTTCACAAGCTCACCTGATTATGAGGAAATAATAAAATATCTCCATATGGTAATTTGTTTGGCTTAACATCTGCTGAGTCAAAAAGAACAGCTGGGTTTTTCAGGGAGTAGCGGCCACAGTAAGCATCCGTCTCAGCCGTCCTCTGCCCTCTATTAATGTGATCCTACAGAAACAACAATATTTCAAAGGAAAACGTGATTTATCATTCTGCTTTTCTCCCAACATCTCCAACCTACTCTAATCCCATGATCTCTTTGGTATTTAACATGAAACAGTCTCTCCCATCTAAGAAATTCTTTATACATTCATTCCGATCCCTAATCATATTCATCCATTGTGTTTCTGTATGGAGGTTTCTCAAGTCCCATCATCTTTTCTCTTACTGCCATCTCATTAAAGGTGCCTATTCGTTTTTCATGAATATTTGTTTAGTACCAGGTACTAAGTTTTTGTTTACTTTTATTTTATTTCTCATAATTCAAGTGATCAAGAACACTATCCTTGTAAGAAGGGGGTAACCCTTTGGGACAAAAGAACTAAGGGTTATATTAATCTTGATGAGGGGTTTTTGCTCACGTAAAAGAAACCTCACTGGAAGTGACAAATGAGTTGCCTTTAAAGATAAATAGGAATTGTCCAAATCAGAGAATCAACTGACTTCAGAGGGCAAAAATCTCCATGAAACATCAAAGAGAGGAAGATCCTAGAGTTCCTAATAGCTGAAGCCAAGCAGAGCCCGGACATGAATTCTGGGTAGAGACAGGAGATGCACCTAGGAAGGAATAGAGTATAATCTAATCCTCACCATCAACAGGACTACTCTCAGATACACATGCTGCCATGAAGCTGAAAATTTTCCATCTCCAATAAATCTGCTAACGCAAAGTACTATGTAATAAATAATTTAGTTATTCATAGTTATTTTTAGAGTATTGGTCACATTTAAATACCTAGACCCTCTGTTCGATCTTTATGCATATGTGTGTGGATGATTTGTATACATTTGTGTTTATGTGTGTGGTGCACAAGTGCCACGGCACACATTTAGCAATGAGTATACACCTTCCACCTCGTTTGGGTCTCTTGTTTGCTGTTACATATACAAGCTAGCTGGTTACAAGCTTCTTGGAATTCCCATATCTCTACCTCCAATCTCACTATATGAGTGCTGGAATTGTAGAAACTTGCCACTATGGCTGACTTTACTTGGGTTCTGGAAATATGAACTCAGGAACTCCCATTTGTATATGTGTTTCATTCACCGACCCTCTCTCCATGCCTGCATTTCATATTCTTGGAACGCCGCTTAGAAAGCATGCACATCTGACATTCTTAAGTATTCAGAACACAATTAGGATGTATATCTTTAATATTTTCCTCTGTATACTAAAGAAAATGTATAAATCTCATAAAGAAAAAAATAAGAATTAGGCATTGTAATAAAGGCTAAGTGATTTCAAAGCAAGACAAGAAATTTACTGTATGACTCATTCCAATACAAATTATATGCTCTGAAGCCAAGGAGGAAGAGAACACACACTTCACTCATTTGAAGAAAACACGTAAACACAATCTTGAAGTTCTTATCGTTACCCGTTTTGCTTACTGTCTATTTATCAAGTAAATCCATGAGTGTTGGAAGTGTTTTCACAAATGACTTAGAGTTGGGGAAGATGCTAGACTGAGCCTTGCAAGCAAACCTGTAAGTAAATGACCTCTCCAGTCTGACTTAGAATGCTACTAACAACTAATGCTGGCTCAAGGAAAGAAATCGCAAAATCTCAAACACTAGTGGGAAGTTTTATTGAGTCCCTCTCAACGTTCGCCAAACACTACATACCAGTTCAAAATCAGTTTCGTAGTCTCTGAAGTATTTTACTAGATATCCTTCCTCCAGATGTGAGATTTCTGGCGGACACTTGGCACTCACCATCTCTTCCACAGCTGCCTGAAACTGAACGGACAGCATTACTCTTACCTCTAATCAACTTAAGATATAAGTAACTCTATTATCAGTTTGATTAACTAGCTATCAGAATATTTTCATGAGATAATTCCTATGTTAGCCATAATTAGGATACTTTCATTTATAATTTCCTAAAAATTTTCAAGTTAATATGTTATTATTTTAGTGGCCATTGAGATCAATGGGCATCAAGAGATTTTTTTAAGGATGATTATGTCTAGTTTTTATATAATGAAGGCATTTTGTTAAGAAGTCTTTTAAGGAGAGCAATAAAAATTGAAATAAACAATTACGCAATTAAATATATTCCAAATAAATGGTTTTCCTGATACATCAAATTATCAAAAATATGCTCAAATGAAATCTCCTTCCAAAAGAACAGATTAAATGCTGACTGTAACCCGAAACTTTCAATTTTCTAAAACACTAAGTATTCTGGATTAAATAGGGATTATTATACACTAGTGAGTCATAACATTTACTTCTATGTGTCTATCAAAACACAGAAAATGATTAAAGGCTGAAGGCAATACATAGTATTTAATTTCCAAGCAAATAGTAATTGAAACCCACTGTACAGCTTCCATGACTGGGTAATGCACAAGCATACTTTCTTTAAAAACAGCTCCCACTACAACACTATACAGACTAACAGGCCATGCTGACATAGATCAAAGAATCACTTTCTTCTTCTTTTAGTTTTTATAATAT